GTTGTTCGATTGCGTGTGATAGACATCAGAATAATAATAGTTAAGAATGAGCGTTCCTCACGCAAGCCTTGAAGGGATTTTCGCTCGACGGAAAACAAAAAGGGTTCACTGCAGAATGATTGTGCAAGCAAGCCGCGGCAGCATGGAAGTACATACATATGTATTCAGAGGGGGAACCGAATATCGACAGACATAAAACTACCGGTGCACCAGTTGTTGACGACGTTGAAGCTAATGGTTCTGGACGTAGGTAGACAAACAGCTGCAGGACATAACCCCGGCCAATGGACAATTGTTAGACGCGGTATCGTGAGCACAGTTGGGGAAGGCTCGAATCGTTCGGTGGTGGTGTGATGAAATTCCAATGCAGCACACACGGTTAGAAAGATGTAGGGGAAATGGCTCTAATGTTGGCATATGGATTTAAGATTGGGCCCATCGCTAAAAATCTGCTATTTATCAATTTTATCTAGATGAATGCGTCATTGGGACGGTACTAATGGATATTTTTGGTCGCTATTGAAAATTTAGTCGATTGCTGATTTTATGTATGGGCCCAAATTAGGGACATTTAGGCCGACATTACATCCATTTCCCCTAAATTCTAAATTTGTACTATTATCATAACTTTAAGACTGAAATGTATCAGTTTTTAGGTACCCTAAAAACTCCAAATCTGAACACTTTTGAAAGTTGATTATCATTGTCTACCATGATCAAAATAGCCGGAAAAAGCTCACGAAAATTCCTTTGTAGAATTTCAAGCTAATTCGAATAGAATTTTAACGGAATTCCTAAGAACGTTCATCCAGATGAAATTTCAATAAATTTGCTCCAGAGCTCCAGAGAGACGAATTCACAGGGAGCATATTTCCATATTTGCTTGTAATTTTCTGAGCTTAATTCATTTCCTAAAGAAATTTACAGAGGGAATTCTAAGAAAGGTTCAAGAGTTTTCTAAATGGAATTTAAAGATATTCTCTCAAGGCCATTTAGAGAAGAATTTCAACGGAATTCTAAGGAAAATGGCATTCCAAGGTGAAATTCATAGAACATTTTGGAAAATACTTTCTAAACTCTAAGGAATATTCCAAGGGGATTCTGAAGGAAATTTAGTTAAATTCTCGCTAGAATCATTAAGATACATGTAGAGTAAATTTCCAAAGTTTTCTGATGGAAAATTTCTAAAGTTTTCTGCACATACAGTGGTGTTCGATATCAGCGCATGCCGATTTTCATACAAAATTTACAACTTTGACATGTTGTAACTTTGTTCTCTTAAGATCAATTGAGCCACAGAACTACAAATGTGTTGAATTTTACGATTACAAAATACCAAATTTATGGACGCAGCTGCCGGAAATTTTGATTTGAAAATTTAAGTGCTGCAAATATTTTAAACAACATGAGCACAAATGTGCAATAATTGGGTGAAGATTGTTTGAATTTTGAGAAATGTAAAATTTAAAATCTCATAATTGAGTTGAAATGCAAATTATTAAAACTGCTATTATTTCAATTTGCGCCAGATGTTTCCAAAAAAATGGTATTTTGCTTTACGATGAACATATTTGTAGGTCTGTGACTAAGATTTCAGCTCAATTGATCATAAGACAACAAAGTTACATCATGTCAAAGATTGACTATTTTGTATGAAAATTTGCATGCGCTGCTATTATCAGGGTGGCAAGTGAATTTCCGTTTTAAAATTCCTGGTTTTCCTGGTCAATGATTTAAAAATTTCATGATTTCCTGAAAAACAATGTTTAATAAAAAAAATAAAGTGAATCCTTGTACCATCGTTCTTCGCGCAATGCGGAATTTTAGGTATTAAGGTTCTTGTGAATGCCCGTGAAATCTTTATCTGATTGGTTGCTGTAAAGAAGCTAGTAGGGAGCCGTGCTACTTCGTCGTATCATGGCGCCTATTTCCGTTCTATGTGCTAAAACTATAATAGCAAAGCGTTTTCACTCATGTTTTTGCAAAAACATCTTGCTTACAAGATTAATTACGATTGACACTGAAACATTTGCGATAACCCGTAAAATGAGCGATTTTAGGGGTATATGACGAAGAAAAGCTGAGATACGACGGACTAGCGCGGAGCCCTACCTAATGTCTGAAATTTAGAGATCTATAAACCCCTAAATCTTGAGATTTCTGTTTTTGAATCTGCGAACTCTTTAAACAAACCTTTGCTTCGAACAATTTTACGGATTTCCAGTTTGTTTAAATTTTCCGCAAATTGTCAACGAGTAAGGATCTTATTTAGCGGAATTTTGATTACAACATGATTTCAAAATCATATGATTAGAAGATTTCATAAACAACGCTGGCTTAATAAGCTTATTATTAAAAAGACTGACTGCTGAGGTTCATAGAAACTCCCTAAAGTTCGTAGAACTTCCCTCAAGCATTAAGGTCTTTCCTAAAGGGTTCATAGAAGTTTGTATTGTCTGAATTTCATGGGACTTCCCCGAAGTTCGAAGGACTTTTTTTAAGATCTTAGGACTTCCCTGAAGTTCGGAGTTTTTTGAAATTCATAGGAATTTCTTAAATATCGTAGAAGTACCACGAAGTTCGTAGAAATTCTCAGAAGTTCGTAAGACTTCCTTCAAGTTCGAAGAACTTTCTCGAAGATCTGAGGACTTCCCTGAAGTTTGAAGGACTTAACTGAATATATGAGGACCCTAAATTTAGAAGAGCTTCCCTGAAGTTCATAAGGCTTTAAATATCGAAGGGTTTTCCAAAAGTTTGTGGGTCTTTCCTTAATTTCTTGAAAATTCCCTGAAGTTTGGAGAGCTCCCATGAATTTCGTAGGACTACCTGTAGTTCAATCTACTTCTAGTTCTAAGAGAAGTTCTAGGAACTTTTTTGAGCTTGGAGAACTATGTTAAGTTCAGAGGACTACCGAAGAGTATTGAAGACTTCTCTGAAGCTCGGAAACAATCCATAAGTGTCATAGGATTATCCTTAAGTTTTAAGCAATGCCTAAATGTCGTAGAAGTTACATTAAATCTGTAGAAAATTCTGTAAAATTCGTAGTTATTCCCCAAAGATTAAAGGACTTCCCTGAAGTTCCTAAGACTTCTCTGAAATTTGTAGAACTTCTCTGAAGGTTCGGAGAGATTTCCTGACAGTCGTAGGTCATCACAGTAGGTCACAGGATTTTATAGAAAAACTTGTAAGACTTTCCTGAATTTGGTAGAACTTGCATGAAGTTCGAAGGCCTTATCTGAAGTTTTTAGAAATAGAACTTTTTTATTGAACATGATTATTTTCCTGGTGGACTTATGAAATTCCTGGTTCCCGGTTTTTCCTGGTGAAAATAAATTCCCGACTTTTTCCCGGTTTTCCTGGTTTTTCTAGTTCACTTGCCACCCTGTTATTATATCGAACAGCACTGAAATTCCAATAATGTTAAGGACGAGGTTATGGATAATAATGGAGAGAATCATAAGATTATTTAGGGGAATCCTAAATGACTCTGATGACATTTTGGTGGCAGGTGAACTTTTGTGAACTTTTTCCGTTATCCTACTACTCATACTTGGAAATTCCCTCGTAGATTTAGTTTTCATATATTTTCGTTCAAATTAAGCCAGGCCTAAGGCATGGTGATTACTCATGGTTACTCCATGAGTAACCAGCTTCGAAAACTGGTTGTTATTATTAAAATTATTTTTAATAAATATATAGAACTTTAGAGCAGTTTCATAAATTTCAGGAGAATAACGGGAGAGTCCAAGAAGTTGTGATAGATCCATAAAACTTAAGAAAAATTTCAAAAAACTTCACACAGAAATACCAAGAAGTTCACGAAAGCCCAGCTAACTTCAGGAAGGTTTAGAGATCTTTATGTCAATTCCAGATCATTATCAGTAAATTAGAAGGAAAGCTTCGTGAACAGCAAGAAAGAGATCTTCAGGGCAGTCCCATTAACTTCACAAAAATAGTTGCAACTTTGAAGAAGTTCTGAGAAATTGAAGGAAATGCTTCAAAGGGAAGTCAAGAGAACGTCAAAGATGTAGAGAAAACTTAAAGAAAATTGTGGAATTTTTAAAGAAGTTCCAAATACCTCAGATAAGCTTGGTCTAGAGATCTTTGGAGAATTTCAGATATATTATGGGCATTTCCAGTAACTTCAAGTAAGTCCCCAGAACTGCAGGAGAGTCCATACCGTCGGGGAAGTTTTAAGCGTAAGCGTATGCTCTTTAAGTATAAGTTCTGTAACCACACTTATATTATTTTACAGGAGGCAGTATTTTTACTGGGTTTTTTAATTGCTGAAAAATTCGGTAAATATTCTAATGACCGTAATCAATTTTTCCAATAATTTGGATTAAAGTTTTTTTAATGAATAAAAAAACAAATGTTTAATTATTTTTTAAGTGTATGTTATTTTACGTTTCAAAATCAATTCTCTACAACTCTTCCTTAGAACAACACTCTGATGAGACAACGAAATCCCATCCCAAGCTCTTCCCCTGATCCTATCCTTCGATAATGTACCCCTCTAACTTTGGGTAAGCCGCGGGTATTTGGCCCAACTCCTACTAGACATAGAAATAAGTTAATTTTGTTACCACCAATGAACAATGAATTATCGGCCCCGTAAAGCTAACGCTATTGAGCTTGTAAGGCTGAACGAACTAGATAAAAAAAACTCTTCCTTAGACACCATTTCGGTACAATCAAAAGACTATGAGATACGTTTTTTCCCCAACATAGTGGCCATGAAAATACATACGCCCTTTTAAAATATGCCGCTTGAGCTACAATGGTCAAAATAGCTATGGCAGATTCCCTCCTGAAGAAAACTTAGTCAGATTTCAGCTTGGATTTCAGCATGCAATTTTCCAATCAACGGAAAAATTTCCTAGTCAGCCCACAAAGCCAGTCTGAGAATGCTTTGCATGCTTTCCTCACATCTTCAACACGCGTTCCGACCCCACACCGTATTATTGCTGAAACCAGTAATTCTCCACTTTCGCTCTTACCTGCACTAAGTACATGTTGATACCGGCTATTATCTAGCTGCAGCCAGTCGGATGGTTCCGTACACCGCAGAACACAACCACCGCACACGACACGAGAAGTTGTGCTATTGCGCTATATCCGATTGCCGTTTCCTTCGCAAGACCGTCTCCTATTCCAACGGTGATTTCCAGTTGCTGCAGGTGTCCCTCCTCCTTCGGTTCACGGTTCACGTTCGCAATACGACGGCGCCTTCTTGCACAAAATCGATAATCCCTACCGTCCGTCTGCCTTGCCCGGTTCCACTTGATACCGTACTGTATGCACAACTTTTCCCAGGTCACGCGGCTTCTGGTTGTTAATCCTGGTAACAGCAGCAGTTGGCAGACCGGGGCTCTAGTTCCAACCAGCCATGGCGATGGTGGTCAAAAGGTGGTAACATGTTTCACCCAGCAGTCCGTAATTACGGAATCACTTAAGCGGAGCACACTCTTTCCTAAATTAATTTATATTTGCCCCTGCCTTGTGCATCGATCGAAAGCAAAAGTGTGAGGCGGATTATTTTAGGAGGATTTTACTACTCTACTTTGGTGGACCACAAAAACACTTTCCACTAATTTTATAAGAGCCCAGCTACAGCTCCACGCGGTCTTCGATTTCTTCGGCTATTTAATTATTTATTCATACAAACGACCAGACCGGGCCCAGACTTGAACACACGCGCCACTTGTTGCTGTGTGTTGAAAAGCGACAAAATTTTTGTGAAAGTTACGTCCACAACACTGGAACTAACGCGAACGGGCGAGGGATAGTGACAGTTCCGCACTCATTCCACCGAGCAGCAATCAAAATCTCCAAACGCAACACACACGGAGGTTTTGTGCATAACGCAACTCTTTTGTTTCATCTCAACGGGCACCACGCCGCCATCACTTTACACCAACTTTAAATAACTAGCCCACTACTATCGATGGGGAGATTTGTTTGGCTTCAACGACCATCATCGACACTTCCCGCCTTTTCCTTAAGCCGTATGTCGGGGCGTACGCAACAACAGTAAGCACTGTGACGTCACGTTGGCAGCTGTCAGTTTCCATACAAAAACCAATCAATTTTGCACTGTAGTTGTTTCTTTTCACTCATCCACTTGACCTGTTGGCGGTTGTTTGGCTTTTCAACGGCTTTTTTCGTTCTTCCTCCTTCTCCAGATCTTCAACGCCAAATTAGGCATAATAACAGCATACATGCTCCAACGTTTTACACATCACTCGGAAGACCCCATGAGTCAGGTGTTTCTTTTTTTTTTTTTGGAAATGCTTCCCCCTTGTAAATCCACAGGATAATCACTTTACTCGGAGAAATCCCCTTAGTCACTGCCACTAATAAGCCACCACGATTCGTTCGGATCCATAATCAATTCCAGCAAAAGTGATTCACTTCTTCCTTTTGCCCAAACATAAGCAACCGGTAGTCGTCCTTCGAATTATCCAGCACTTGAGTTGTTTATGCGCGCTCCTTCAACAATATGATTTGCGTTTCAAAACGAAAACAACAACGTCAAAAAAAATCGACTCTAATAACCTGAACCACGACCGTTCCCGATGAGCGTCAACGGTAGAATGAATTCCGCCTTGAAACTCCCAACTCGAGAAGTATCAAACAAACAACAACAGCCACTTGCGCCTTAAACTTCATTCATCGTTCGTTCATTCATTCGCAACAGAGCGAAACGATCGCTTCTCTCCCATGCCGGCAGTCAGCAGCAGTGTCAACACCGCCGCCGACGAAAGAGAGCCCTCGAAGTGAGCGCGAAATGTTTTGGTTTGTGAGTGGCTCTTTCGCTGGGCGATGGCAAAGCAAGCACACTCTACAAGCTGAAGGGCGAGCGAGCGATCATTAGCTTGTTATTTGACGAAGAAAGAGAATGAGAGGAAGACTGAGATATAACGGAGCCAACTGCACTTTGTGGGGGTGAGAGTGGATGCTTTTAATGCGCTGTGTGCATGCGAAAGAGGGATATGTTGGAAAGCTGCTTTGGGCCGCGCGTTTGATAATGAGCTGAATTGTTTGGATAATGAATTAAATTGCGGGTGAACGCGCGTGACAGCGGCAGCCGTTTGCTGACAAACGGGTAATTAAATAATGTAATAGGAACAATTGAGCAAGTGTCAGTGAATTAAATGGGGAAATATTTTGCAATGATGTGCTGGTAATGTAATCAAAGAATCAAAGGCTTTTAGATGGGAAATAAACTCTGCCCACATTGTTTCAACGTCAGAGATGTCGTTAAAACAAGAGTTATGATTAAAGAATGGTGTGAAGCTGCAACATCTGATTATCAGCAGTGGGAAAATTGACTTACATGTAGATATTTCAGATTTCCAGATTTATTTATCAACGTAAGTAGACTAGTACACATACACGTACAGTGTTTTTATTAAATAGGGGAAATGGCTCTAATGTTGGATCTCAGATTGGGCCCATCGCTAAAAATCTGCTATTTATCAATTTTAACTAGATGAATGCGTCATTGGGACGGTACTAATGGATACTTTGGTCGCTAATGAAATTCGGCCTAATTCATGGATAAAAATACCCCTCAGATAGTGGTTAAATTTACGGAGATAAACGGGTTCAGAGATGTGGAAAACCCTAATCAAGATTAAGGCCAAATTTACGGAGATGAACGGGTTAAAAACATTCCCCGTAAATAATCTCCCAACCCATTATTTTCAGTCTGGCGGATATGAAAATCTTTAAATCGATTTATCTCCGTAAATAAGCCTCTAATCGAGATTTGGAGCGTATTTAGGTGTCAGAAAAAAAAATTCCCCGAAAATAATGTCCCAACCCATTATTTTCAGGCTGGCGGATATGAAAATCTTTAAATCGATTTATCTCCGTAAATAAACCTCTAATCGAGATTTGGAGCGTATTTAGGTGTCAGAAAAAAAATTTCCCCGAAAATAATGTCCCAACCCATTATTTTCAGGCTGGCGGATATGAAAATCTTTAAATCGATTTATCTCCGTAAATAAGCCTCTAATCGAGATTTGGAGCGTATTTGAGTTTCAAAAAAAAAAAGTTCCCCAAAAATAATGTTCCAACCCATTATTTTCAGGCTGGCGGATATGAAAATCTTTAAATCGATTTATCTCCGTAAATAAGCCTCTAATCGAGATTTGGAGCGTATTTAGGTGTCAGAAAAAAATTTCCCCGAAAATAATGTCCCAACCCATTATTTTCAGGCTGGCGGATATGAAAATCTTTAAATCGATTTATCTCCGTAAATAAGCCTCTAATCGAAATTTGGAGCGTAATTAGGTATCAGAAAAAAAAATTCCCCGAAAATAATGTCCCAACCCATTATTTTCAGTCTGGCGGATATGAAAATCTTTAAATCGATTTATCTCCGTAAATAAGCCTCTAATCGAGATTTGGAGCGTATTTTGGTGTCAGAAAAAAAATTTCCCCGAAAATAATGTCCCAACCCATTATTTTCAGGCTGGCGGATATGAAAATCTTTAAATCGATTTATCTCCGTAAATAAGCCTCTAATCGAGATTTGAAGCGTATTTAGGGTCAGAAAAAAAATTTCCCCGAAAATAATGTCCCAACCCATTATTTTCAGGCTGGCGGATATGAAAATCTTTAAATCGATTTATCTCCGTAAATAAGCCTCTAATCGAGATTTGGAGCGTATTTAGGTGTCAAAAAAAAAATTCCCCGAAAATAATGTCCCAACCCATTATTTTCAGGCTGGCGGATATGAAAATCTTTAAATCGATTTATCTCCGTAAATAAGCCTCTTATCGAGATTTGGAGCGTATTTAGGTGTCAGAAAAAAAATTTCCCCGAAAATAATGTCCCAACCCATTATTTTCAGGCTGGCGGATATGAAAATCTTTAAATCGATTTATCTCCGTAAATAAGCCTCTAATCGAGATTTGGAGCGTATTTAGGTGTCAGAAAAAAATTTCCCCGAATATAATGTCCCAACCCATTATTTTCAGGCTGGCGGATATGAAAATCTTTAAATCGATTTATCTCCGTAAATAAGCCTCTAATCGAGATTTGGAGCATATTTAGGTGTCAGAAAAAAATTTCCCCGAAAATAATGTCCCAACCCATTATTTTCAGGCTGGCGGATATGAAAATCTTTAAATCGATTTATCTCCGTAAATAAGCCTCTTATCGAGATTTGGATCGTATTTAGGTGTCAGAAAAAAAATTTCCCCGAAAATAATGTCCCAACCCATTATTTTCAGGCTGGCGGATATGAAAATCTTTAAATCGATTTATCTCCGTAAATAAGCCTCTAATCGAGATTTGGAGCGTATTTAGGTGTCAGAAAAAAAATTTCCCCGAATATAATGTCCCAACCCATTATTTTCAGGCTGGCGGATATGAAAATCTTTAAATCGATTTATCTCCGTAAATAAGCCTCTAATCGAGATTTGGAGCGTATTTTGGTGTCAGAAAAAAAATTCCCCGAAAATAATGTCCCAACCCATTATTTTCAGGCTGGCGGATATGAAAATCTTTAAATCGATTTATCTCCGTAAATAAGCCTCTAATCGAGATTTGGAGCGTATTTAAGTGTCAGAAAAAAAATTTCCCCGAAAATAATGTCCCAACCCATTATTTTCAGGCTGGCGGATATGAAAATCTTTAAATCGATTTATCTCCGTAAATAAGCCTCTAATCAAGATTTGGAGCGTATTTAGGTGTCAGAAAAAAAATTTCCCCGAAAATAATGTCCCAACCCATTATTTTCAGGCTGGCGGATATGAAAATCTTTAAATCGATTTATCTCCGTAAATAAGCCTCTAATCGAGATTTGGAGCGTATTTAGGTGTCAGAAAAAAAATTCGCCGAAAATAATGTCCCAACCCATTATTTTCAGGCTGGCGGATATGAAAATCTTTAAATCGATTTATCTCCGTAAATAAGCCTCTAATCAAGATTTGGAGCGTATTTAGGTGTCAGAAAAAAAAATTTCCCCGAAAATAATGTCCCAACCCATTATTTTCAGGCTGGCGGATATGAAAACCTTTAAATCGATTTATCTCCGTAAATAAGCCTCTAATCGAGGTTTGGAGCGTATTTAGGTGTCAGAAAAAAAAATTCCCCGAAAATAATGTCCCAACCCATTATTTTCAGGCTGGCGGATATGAAAATCTTTAAATCGATTTATCTCCGTAAATAAGCCTCTAATCGAGATTTGGAGCGTATTTAGGTGTCAGAAAAAAAAATTCCCCGAAAATAATGTCCCAACCCATTATTTTCAGGCTGGCGGATATGAAAATCTTTAAATCGATTTATCTCCATAAATAAGCCTCTTATCGAGATTTGGAGCGTATTTAGGTGTCTGAAAAAAAAATTTCCCCGAAAATATTGTCCCAACCCATTTATTTCAGGCTGGCGGATATGAAAATCTTTAAATCGATTTATCTCCGTAAATAAGCCTCTAATCAAGATTTGGAGCGTATTTAGGTGTCTGAAAAAAAATTTCCCCGAAAATATTGTCCCAACCCATTATTTTCAGGCTGGCAGATATGAAAACCTTTAAATCGATTTATCTCTGTAAATAAGCCTCTAATCGAGATTTTGAGCGTATTTAGGTGTCAGAAAAAAAATATCCCCGAAAATAATGTCCCAACCCATTATTTTCAGGCTGGCGGATATCATTAAATCAATTTATCTCCGTAAATAAGCCTCTAATCGAGATTTGGAGCGTATTTAGGTGTCAGAAAAAAAAACCCGAAAACAATGTCCCAACCCATTATTTTCAATCAATCAATTATTTTTAATCCGAATCATGTCCACAAGGTGACTACAATCTGTGTTTTTGTATCTATCTTAGGTTATACAGCAATTGTTTTACTAGGTGTATTTGATGTCGGTCCTGATCCATTGGCCATCATTGGATAATTTCTTGTGGAAAGTTCATGGGAAATCGAAGCATTCATGTTTCCTTCTATGCAGCAATGTGATATTACTTAAGTCATAGACATAACTCAGGGAACTATTAAAAAAAACATCGGTGGAAAAGGAAATAAGACTCAGATTGAACAGCATGATTGAAACCGGTAAATCACACCAATCTCCAACACGTCAAGATTGCATCATAACGATATATATCGGCTCTGTCAAACTGTCACCGCATCAACCGTATTCCGCAAGTTCCTCAAACTCCATTTCAAGAGACAAGATCGCCACTAATCACCTCTCCCTCTCTGTCCCATCCCCGTTGCTCCGTTCGCAATACGTGGTCACTTTTACCGAGAAAAATAGCATTTTCCGCTCCGGCAGCAACTATCGATTTCAAGTTTAATCACCCATCGGGACCGGCCCGATCGATTTCCCTTTCAACCGAAGAACCGACCGCAAGGGAAAAGCGAAGTTCGTCGCTTGCCGCCGGGTGCAGTTCTTTGCAGCATTGTGGAGTCGAACGCTCTGGCATGGCACGCCACAACACAAGAGGAAAAATCCCATTACATCTCCAATCGCAATCAATAATTTTCCCGCTGGACTTGAACCGGTCGGTCGGGAGGGCCAATTTCGCTTTCCTTGGAATTTGCC